TTATTTCTTTTAGTTGAGATTATAAAATAATTCCATCTTTTCCCTCAAACCCTCCCATATACCTCTCCTTGTTCTCTTTCAGTCAATGGCCTCTTTTTCATTAATTGTTGTTACGTGTCTATGCACACACATATGTATTCCTAAATACAACGTGCTCAGTCTGTGTAAGGTCTCTTGAACACGACTGGCTAATCATAAGCTGAAAAGGACAATAATACAGGGTGGGAGAGGAAAGTCAAGGGGGCTGCAACCCCACACAAGGAACTGCAGCCAACTAAGGAATGCTGAGAACTAGCAGGGTGTGCTGGTGCACACCTTCAATTTCAGTACCTGGGATGCAGAGACAAGAGGGTCTCTGTGAGTTCAAGGCCAGTCTGGTCTACATAGTGAGTTCCAGGATAGCCAGGGCTATGTAGAGAGACCCTGTGACAAATCAATCAATCAATCAAAATAAAATAAAACAACAACAAAGAATGCTGAAGGCTGAAGAAATATTCTTCCCTTGAGACCTAAGATGAGCAAAGCAATTGGTTATCCAATATGGGAGAGCTTAAGTAAGGCTTTGGTGCACATTTAGAGGTATACACATTTCCTAATTACCAGGAAATAGAATATTGGTAGAAAGACCAGATGTCATCATCCGTGACACCATCACCTACCTGCCTACAGCACTAAGAGGTAGACTCAGTTCTATCAGTTCTAGGGAATGCAGTTTGTGTAGTATGTGCAGGGCAACACCAGGGTCCGTGGGCTGCTTGGTCATTGGTTTAGCTCTGCACAACTTAGTGATTTGGAAGTAGGGATGCAGCAACCCTGCTTCTATCCTAGTGCAAGGGATTTTGCTTTGAGCCAAACAAAACAAAACAACAACAACCCTCCCCCCCCCACCACCAAAAAAACCTTTTCTATTGAAAACTGTAGAGTATACTCTGATGCACGGCCAGAAATCATATGAGGTAACTATCATGTACACATATACTCCTTGATATGCATAAAAAAAGTTTCAAGAGGTTTTCAAACACACAGGTTACATCAGTTACCTACTTCAAAACCTTCGACAAGTTCTTGTAGGTTTGGAAACAAATTAAGCTCCTTCCCATTACCTCTCCTCCTCCTCCTCTCCCGTTTCATCTCTCGGCTACTCTCCCCCTTACCATCTCTGAAGGTCAGTGCTCCAATCTCGCCCATCCACTGGCATTTGCAAAGGTTTATGCTCCATAGCACTAATACTCCTCCTTGGGCCTCATTCGTGATCATAACATCCCCTGTGCATTCAATTGAGCTTCACTTGCCCTTTTTCTTAGCGTTTCCACATTTGAAAATAAGTAGGAACACCCCTGGCCTCACATTAAATAAAAGCACAGCTTGAAGCATGAGGTTCTCAGAAGCAGAATAAAACACTTCAGTATTTAAAAGTTAATCAGCATTTTAATTACCGAGCTTTAAGCTTTCCTTTAAAAGGAGAAGCAAAACACATTCATGCTGACAAACCAAGTTTGAGCCTGATGTTAGTGGAAATGTCAATTAAAAACCTTGAAAGGGAAACCAGAAGCTGGCCAGAGATGAGGAATCTGCTGAGAGCTGCTTCTGCAGCTGATGGCCTGTGCTTGTGTGAGGTTTGGGGCTCCCGGATCCCCAGAAACCCAAGGCAGGGTTTGCGGGATGTTTTGGAAGAGCAGCAGCTAGGCTGCATCAGCCTTGTTCTGCCAGCGGAACCTTTTGTCTCTGGCGTGCTAGAAGCTAAGCTGGCTGCAAAGGAAAAATGACAGGCGCTCATGGAAATGTGGGCTTTGATTAAGCCATTACTCTAAATAGCGCCGCCCCTGCTCCTTCACAATCCGGAGCTGAAGTTCAAGGTAGAGAGGAACCCAAGAATTCCCCCTTTCCCCTGGTGCCTTCACATAACGCTTGTTTAAAGAATTCCTCTTTTTTTTTTTTTTTTTTTTGTACAGTTTTGACAGTTCACAACCCAGCAGGCAGTTTGTTCTCTGTCAGCTCCCCCAGCCCTTTCCTGGCAGTCTGAACTATTTGTGAGCGCAGCTTGGCTGGGAAGCCTTGACTTGGAAATTCTTCAGGGTCATAGAGGCCTAAGTGTCTGCAGTGTTTATGCAGAGAGATTTGAAAATGAGAAATAATCTGTTTTCTTTTCTCAGGCAGTGGAAATATCCTAGGGCTGTTCATTATTTTGTAGTTTGTTGATCAATTTTTCATATGCAGCTGATTTAGCCAACTTGTTAATCCGTTTTTCCTTTAGGAAGCTTTGTTACGGCCTACATTTACATACTGTAATGCTATTGGTGCCATCATTCCCTTTACAATAATCTGTTCCATAACCAAGTAAAAACATTTGACAGGGACAGACAAAGGATCTCTGTGAAATACCAATTTCTTTCTTTCTTTCTTTTTTTTAAATGTTTGTTCCTATTTTTTGGATGTTGAGTGTATGAGTGTGTGTGTGTGTGTGTGTGTGTGTGTGTGTGTGTGTGTGTGTGTGTGTGTGTTTGGTGGCGGGGACGCCTGGCCACCCATAGAC